TTATTATTTGTAACTAATTGCAATTATTGTAACTGATTGATTATAATTTATTATTTTTGATCAATTAATTGCAATTAACTATTTGTAATTAATTGACTGGAGCGAATCAAACCTAATAAACTAATTGTAATTTATTAATTGCAACTTAAATAAATGACAATTTATTTATTTATTTAAACTTTATATTATTGTTAGTTTATTCATCATTAAATAAACAAATAATTGAAATAAACAAATTAATAAGAAGGAAAGGAATTAGCACTCAAATAGACAAAGACAAACAACGAAGCAAAAGAAACATAAATAAAGATAAATAAGTAAATAAATAAAATAAATATATGGAAAAAACACATAAATCAACAAAATAATCAACCAAATAATTAATTAATTAATTAATCGACTAATTAATTAATTAAATAATTAATTAATTAATAATAAGGAGTTGGGGTGTTACCTCTGCTATGGCTCTGCGCTGTTGGTGAATTCTCTCTTCGAGTTCTTCTTTCATGCGAACGAGGGCCGCCTTTCTTTCTTTTTCAGCTTCTCTTCTGAAGAAATAAAACAATTAAATTAAAATAAATAAAAGAATTCAATTTAATAAATAAAAGAATTCAATTTAATACACAAAAGCTTCGAAGCGTCTCGGCGCCGCGCAGAACCCGAGGTGTACATACACCCGAAACGCATGCACACCTGCCGGTACACCGCACGCTCGAACGCAAGACTTTCGAACATTCGCGAATTCGCCGATTAAACCCTCCAACGAGTTCCCAAGTGGAATTATTAACTTAAAATGGTAAAATAAACAAAAAAACGAAGGGAATTAAAAAAATGAAAGAAAATGAAGAAAAATTCAAAAAGATGAATGGGTGTCTGCTCAGCCCAGTTTTGAATTTGAAACGAAATGGCAATTAAACGAATTTAAAGTGCCATTTTTACTTTAAATAATACTATAAAATGAAATTAAAATGCCATTTTATCCTTTTAATTGTTTTAAATTGGCAAAATTAAGGACAACTCACCTCAGCCCTTCTTCCCTCATCTCCCGCAGCCGCTCCTCTTCACTGCTGCCTGCTGCTGCTCGCAAGTCCCGCGTGTAAA